TCCAGTTGTAGTGCCAATGTTCACGTGCCCAAGACAAGCGAACGTCCTTTGCTCTCTGGGTCAAGAGAGGCACTTTTTGTGGAAGAATTGAAACGTAACCGAGATTTTTTAGCTCACAACGAACTGTACGTTCACTGACCTCGAGCTCAGGGTCATTTTCTTCCAGTTTAGCCTTAAGTTCGCCTGCTGTCGTGAAGTGGTTGTGTTTCAAAATTTTTCCAATATGGCGGTGTTTCTTGGGGGACAACTTTCTTGGGCGACTAGGTGAGTGATTTATAGAGTTATTGCCAGTTTTACATAATTTACTGACATATCATTCACAGGAGCGTAAAGGGATATTCAATCGTTCGGAAATTTCTTTTGCATTACGCACGTTTTGTTGCCAAAGTGACTTAACGGCGTTTCACTGGATTTCAAGTGGACTTGGCATTTTTTAGTGGGCAAAAACGAAATGTAAACAATAACAAACCTAATTGTTTACAACTTACTTATTAAATAAACAATACATTGTCCAATTTGGTAATATAAACAATGGCCCGATTCGGAAAAATGGTGATGTTGCGGCCAAAAATAGATGCGGTATCTCCACCGCCATTCTTTTCGCCGGGGACTGTATTAGTTTACAACTACAGAGTCTTTTCACCACCTGGACATCTGGAAATAACATAATTGATGATTTTATTCAACAATGTCAAATGAAATCATCTTTGCCAGGTTATACTTTAGAATGGATACCTTTTGAGCAATTTGAAAAAGTAACAAAGTTAACTGAAGGTGGATTTAGTTCAATTTATACTGCTACATGGACAAGAGGAGTTATTGTTGACTATGATGAAAATAAAAAGGAATTTAATTATTTAGGAAGGCAACTAGTAGTATTAAAAAGTTTAAATAATTCAATTAACCCAGGAAAAGGCTTTTTTGATGAGGTTGGTAGTTGTCATTAAAACAGTATTTTTGTGTATACTGTATTATATGGGGCATGCTGCAATAAAACCAGACAAAGTGAACATTAGTGTTACCAAGAATTACAGGGACCAATATTGTTTGTTTAACATCACAATTGTATCACAATATAATGTGATCATGATATTTGTCTAGACAAAAATAGTTAATATGAAGCTAATTTACATTAGGTCTACCATGGAACCCAAGAATTATAGTACTATCAGAAGTATTTTGAAAAAAGAACAAGGTGAAAAAATTGCTCCCTACATTTTCAAAATAAATGACACTCAAACACTGGAAGTTTATCTAAGAAAAGAAAGGATTACTTATGAAATTTACCATGAAGAAAAAAAATTCATAAGTGTTAGAAAAAGAAAACATTATGATGATGTATTATTACCTAATAAAAAGCAAAAATCTTTAAAAGGAAAATAACTATCATTTTCTTTGATAGTTAGAATTATACAGAGGGAAATACCTAAAATTACTTTCTTATTTTCAATCAAGGTCATTTCTTAGTTTCTTTAATTTCAATTTGTGCAGTTAATTGACCATTCTGTTGTTGTAATTGGGTTAATTGAGCTTTTAAATCATTGATTTCTTTTAATAATTCTTGTGGAGTTAATTCTTTTAGTTGTTTGTTTTCTTCTTCTAGTTGCTTAATTCAATCTAATAGTTCCTGTTTCTGTCTTTTATGCCAATCTTCAGCCACTTCTAAGGCTTCCAAGTGTGTATCTATTTCCTCTTCTAACTGTCTTTCCTTTTCCAGTATCCCATTTTCAAATACAATAGATGATATTGCCTTGGCTTCCATTTTAGCAACCTGAATTTCCATGTGGCATACATCAATGCTCTTGTAACTGGTGGCTGTTTCAGAAGTATTAATTTTTTTATTGCTGTTGTTGTTGTTGTCAAATTGTCTTGCTTTAATAATAATATTATTGTTATTATCATTAACAGGATTATTATCATTGCTATTACAATCCTTTACATCTTTAAGTTGATTTTCAAGATTAATTTTGGCATCTTCAAAAAATTGCATTTCTATATAAATATAATTGAATAATAAAATATTAATCAAATATACAAACATAAACATATATGTAAATTAATTGATTTATACTACTCACCAATAAAGCCCTCTTGAGTCTTAACTAAAATTTTATCATTGTGATGTAAAAAACGTTCTTCATGTGGTTCCAAAAGTTTTTTATTAATAAAAGTTCTTTTATTTGAACCATTTTTTATAAATGATTCAAAACTTAAATCTTTAATGTTTGTTTTTCTCTAATGGGATTATAATGATAATATTATTATTATAGAAATTATAATGATTTCAATATTACATAAAATTGATTAATTAAGTTATTGTTACTTACAATTGAAATTGTGCAATGAGTATTTGCAATATAGAGTGGTTTATTAATCCTTAAATTGCATGTTTTGCCATGTCCAATTGTTATAGATTTTTGGAATTCTGTTATGCTAACTCTTTGGTTTTGATATGTAACAGATGAAATTGCTTTTGCTTCCATTTTAGCAATCTCAGCCTTATATTTTAGTATTTTTCTGTGTCTTATTTCAAGAGCAATATCATAGTGGCTGTTGCTGTTATTATCATCATTATTACGAACATCAGCGATTGTGCTTGAATGATTTCTTTTTAATTGGCGTGGTGTAGATGGATTTCTGACTAAACCGGTTAGTCTGAAAATGTTGGAACAAATTTTTCATTAGTAATAATGGTAGTGGCTATGGCAGTAATAGATTCAATTCAAGTAAATTGATTATCAATGATAACAGTAATGGTAATGGTAATAAAGATAATAATAACAATAGTGTCTATAATAATAATAAAAGAGAGGATTTAAGAAAAAGATCGTTTTAACTGGTCTCTGATGAAGCTTATTTAATTTATTTATTTTTATTTATTTATGATGTATGAATTATATTATTTTTAAAATTTATATATAGTGTAATAATAAATTAATTGGCATTTCCTTTTGTAAATACCAACTATTACATTTTTTAACTTACATTTCTTGCATAATAAATATCAATTCAATTGTCTAATTAAACAGCATGAGTTCCTTTTATATGAATTGAGATCCGTGGATATTGTTCGGCACATTATTTCCGATGAAATGTTTATAATAATCATGAGCATCTCCATCTATATAATGATTGTAATGAATTATTGTTAACAAATTTAAATCATTTATAATAATAATAATCCGAAAATAACCCCTATTAATTGAGCAACTACAAAAATTGTCACATATGTTTTATTTAAAAAGTAAATATTTCAAATATTTCAGCCTTACATCTATTCTTTCTATTAAGCTAATGTTATCATCATCTGTATGTTTATATAATCCTTATACTACTATATACTATATATCCACAAAATTTGATTAATACTATATTATATTGAAAATATAATTTAAATGAAAAGGTGACATGATAATGATAACAAAAGAAAATATTGTTTGAGCTACTAAACTAAAATAATAGTTGCAATAATTAAGTTATTTTTTGATACGATCAATTTTTTAAAATTTGTTCATTTTCTGTATTAATAACTAAAGATTTAATTTGCTTTTGTGCTTTAATTAGCTGTGCTAAGTTATATGTATATTTATCATTAGAATAATATATTGTTAATGATTGAATATTTTTACAAACTTTCGTTAATTTGTCAAAAAATTCACCACTACAAGAATTAGTATACTCTAATTTATAAAGATTTTAAAAGATATTATCAAATCTATGATGATTAGTTAATAAATTACAATCTAGACCATAAGTAATACTAAACTTTCTAATGCCTGCGAATGATCTAAAATAAATTCTACTAGTGTTAAAAATCAACCCCAAACATTTTCTTTATTTGTCGTTTCATTAACCTCCATTTTAATGAAATAGCATTATTTTTTCTTGATATTCCATTAATTGTAATTCATTACAATTAATCTTCTTACTAAATACATGATTTAGGAGAATGCTCAACTCTTCTTTTGACCATTTGGTATTCCAAGCAGTCGCAAACCTCCTTTCATCAAGGCTTTCTAATACACTATCATCATCATCATTACCATTACCATTACCATTCTCATTTACATTGTCATCATTGCTATTAGCATCATTAATAACATTACCATTATCATCATTACTGCCATTAATATCAATGTTATCTTCTTCATTTTCATTAACATCATTATTACTATTGCTGTCAACACTATCACTATTAACATTAACATTATCATCATCATTATTATCATAAACTTCTTCAATTGGTACTACTTCAATTTCTTCTTTCTCTTTCTCCATCTCTTCCACTTCTCCTCCCTCTTCTGAATCCTCCATCTCTTCTTCTTTTTCTTGAAAAATTTCCAATTCTTCCGAATTTTTCCCTCTTTTCAATTCTTTCTCTTCTTCCGATTCTTCCTCTTCCTTGAGTATATTTTTTTTTTAAAATGAATTAAATATGATACGATAAACTTTTATTATTAATAATAAACAATAATGAAGATACCTCATAAATAGCTTTTAATAATTCAAGCAGTTGCAATGGTTTCAATGGTGGCATACCCTCTTGTATATTGTCTTTGATGTCATCAAATAATGCATCCAAGTCAATACATTTACTAATATCGCTATAATAATTATTTCTATAATAATTTTTAGGGAGAGAAAAGAAAAATTATAATTAGTATGCATCACAACCATCATTCTTTTTAATAATAACTAGAATGACAAGTTGCAACAGCCACCATTTAACAATAAACACTTACCCGTTGGAATTGGCGAGCTGAGATCCTTTTCTTCTTTTTCCTAACAATATTGATTGCGACATTTTTTCTTAAATTAAAAGAAATTTTTTTTTATTAATGCCAATTAATCAAGGGGTAAATTATTATATTATACGCGTATAGGTTGTACAAGGAATATTAAAGAAAACGTGTTAATAGCTAACCAGAGGTAATTTGCATTGATATTTCTTATTGAAATCAAAACGCGGAGCAGATCTTGTAGTGACTTAGGTATTTACGAGATTCTTTATCTTGATAATAAATGATTGGTATTTTGCTTTTCGTAATTGCAAGATGTCAGGGCGATACGAGGAAAGGAAACATTTTTATATACGACATTTTCATAATTGTACACTTCACAGATGTCAAGACGCACAAGAAGAAGTCAAAGATAGTGTTATTACTGTAATTTTTTTTTGCTATTTTTTTATTTTCACATGTTTAATTATAAATAAAGTCTTATTTAATATTAATGTATTGCATTAAACCAAGGTTCCTCCATATTATAATCAATTCGAAAGACAAGCCATTCTGGACGCTGCTGAAATTGCTGGATTACGTGTGCTATCCTTGATTAATGATCTGACAGCTGGTTAGTCTATTGATCAAAATTATTGCAGCTCTTTCTTATAATCTTTCAAAATTGCCATTATTGACGAGTTTACTATATTAGTTGGAATAAACTATGCCATTACACACTCTTCTTCTATTACTGAGGATCCACAAATTCATTTATTCTATGATATGGGTGCTGGAAGCACTAAAGCTAGTGTGATCAAATTTAATATTGTTAATAACAAGGATGCGGGTCCTTTCAACAAGACTTTTATTAATTTAGAAGTTTTATCAACCGGATACGATAGAACTCTCGGGGGACAAGAATTTGATCTTCGGCTTAGAAAATATTTTGCGACAAAGTTTGATAATTTACACAGTAATAAGTTGAAAGAATCCATTTTTAAGTCTGATCGTGCTATGACAAAACTATTTAAAGAAGCAAATAGAGTGAAACAAATTCTTAGTGCCAACACAGAGACAATTGCTTCAGTAAGTTTTTTAATGCTGGTAAAATTATAATAGTAGTATAGTAGTAGTAGTAATAGTAGTAATAATAATAACAATAATAATTATAGTAATAATAATAATAACAATAATAATTATAGTAATAATAATAATAACAATAATAATTATAGTAATAATAATAATAATTATAGTAAATAATAACAATAATAATTATAGTAATATAATAATTATAAACAATTATTATTTAATATCAATTACAAAGATAGAGAATTTACACGAAGAAAAAGATTTTAGGATCGCAATTTCAAGGAACGAACTTGAATCTATTACAAATGATTTGATTGGGCGTGTTGAAGCTCCTTATATCACAGCATTAAATAAGGCTAATCTGACATTGGTATTTATTCTGATTATTATTTTGATTGTTATATAGATTTAATTTATAAATAAACTTATATTTATTTATACATTATTTATCATAGTCTGATATAAAAACATGCGTGTTAGTTGGTGGTGGTATTCGTGTGCCAGCTGTTCAAAATATGCTTAAAGGACTTATTGGAGAGTAAATATTAAATATTTTTTTTTAAGAAAAAAATAGAAATAAAAATTATATATTATGAATAATAATCTATCAAACCTAACAATTGATTATTAGAGATAAAATTGCGCAAAATCTTAATGGAGATGAAGCAGCTGTTTTAGGTACGCAAAAAAAAAAATTTTTTTTGCTGCATTTATGTGCCTATGTGTATGTATTTATTTATTATCGTAATTTATAGGTGCTGGTTTTAGAGGTGCCGGGTTGAGTCATCATTTTAAAGTTAAAGAAGTAAAGGTCACAGACATCACATCCTATCCAACTGAATTTGCAAACCAATCTGAAAAAAACATTAATGAAAATGATATAAGCGTTGATGTTGATAATGTTGATATAAAACCTTTAGGAGAAAAAGAGAAGCTTAATTCAATCCAACGGTATGTTTATATATTCTCCACAAAATTGATCAAATTTTTAATTTTTATAAACAAATAATGATAATTGGAATAAAAATATTTTTTAGATTACTTGCTATGGAAAGGATTGATAATGAACGTCATGCTCGTGAAAGGGCCATGAATTATTTGGAATCTTATGTTTACAAATACCAAGATTTTCTTGATGAGCCAATTGTTATACAAGTTACCACTGTAGAGCAACGTTCAGAACTATCCAAAAAGTTATCTGAAACGTCAGATTGGTTATATGGAGAAGGAGAAAATGCACCAACTGACGAATTTCATTTACGTCTTGACACTTTAAGGTAGATAATTATCAGTTATCAATTTAGATGAAAAATATCATATTTAATTTTAACAGAAATAAAACGTTATGATTTAGATTATTAGAGAAGCCAATTTCGTTTAGACAAGAAGAGTTTATCAAACGTCCTGATGCAATTTCTTCACTTGAACTACTTATAGATAACACGCGTGGATTTATAGAACAAATAAGAACTAATATAACGGTCGAAACATGGCATTATACTGATGCGGATATTGATAAATTATTAAATGTTTGTGATAAAATTGAAAACTGGCTCAAAGAAAAATTGGCAGAGCAAGGGAAAACTGCTCTCTACATTGATCCCATTTTCACTACAGATGATATACAAAAGAAAGTAAATGAGATTAAACGTGAATTTTTAAAATTGGTGAATAAAAAACCACCAATAAAGGCAAAAAGTTCTACAACTACCACCGCTACTACAGAATCTGTCAAAACAAATGATACAACAGCTGATTCAATAACCCAAGAGACTTCAAACGTTACAATACCATCCGATACTGAAACTACAACTGAAGCCATTGAGCCCAAAACAACACATCAGGAATTATAATATATTTGAAATCAAAAAAAAACCAGATATATATATATTTAAAAAAAATTTAGAACAATTAATTCTGTACCACTACCTAACCAACATTATTACTTTGAAATTTTTTTTTTATAAATCAACTTGTATTGATAGAATGATTAGTAATTGTGCATTATTTATTTTCAGTGAAAACCGAAATTTTAGCAAAAATAATAAAAAAAGATTATTTTGCACGTGATTGAAGGTTAAAAGTCATGTTATATTTTAACATTTAATGATAAACCTTTTTTTGCAATCAATTTTCACTTTTCTTGTTAATTGTCATACTTATTTATTATCAACAATTATGAAATGAGCTTATTGGTAGAGAAGGTTTGACTTATCTTGTCGTGATAATGAAAATAGTAATAATAATCATATATGCAAAGTGAAATACGAAAAAAAAAAGAAAAAAAATACTTCAAAATAAATGTACTGGCTGAAATTTTCTCCCATATTCAAATGCATCACCTTTTTATTAAATGTCTCAACTAGATGGATAGACCTGAATGTGATTCTGAATGATTAAACATGAACATTCAAAATTTGATGAAAACTACTGGCAAAGTTTTAATTGATGATCCGTCTATGAATCAGAGAACTTGCTGCGGAAACACATACCCAAAGTGAAAAAAAAAAATATTTCAAGCAAAGAAAAAAATAACCAGAGTTTTTTCTATCTGCGCATATAAAAAAAATTTTATTGGGCAAAAGTATAATACAATTTTTTACGCGAAGGTGCTTGATGGTCATTTTTGTGTCAATTTGAACATATTTTTTACACTTTAGTAAAATTGATTTTTGTGAATAGAGTAAATTTAGATTTTGTGGTTTTAAACAATATAATTTAAAATCTAAAGATTTTGAAAGCGAATGTCAAATTAATCAACCGTTTACTAGATTGGCAGTTTTTAATATATATATATTAAATTTTTAAGGAATATGTTTTGACAAAGTAAAAATAATTAAATACAAATTTTATTAATCATAAATTATCTAATGAAGACAACAGCAAATACTAAAAATTCCTTTTATTTTTAAATAAAATATATAATTATGATGATTTTTAAGGTTGAACAACATCTTTCTTGAGTGTACCAAGGAATGCATGTTTTTCTTCTGCGGTTTGGAAACGACCATGACCAAATTTTGAACTTGTATCGATAAACTAATAAAGTATTATTTTTTTTTTTTGGTGTTAGTAATAAATTCATCAAACACAAATAACGCGTGCACGCAAGTGTATATACCCGTGAAAAAAATATTCACAACAAACCTTTAATGAAATATTTTCTAAAGCTGAACGTTTTGTATGAGTGAGTAATGTTTTTCTTAATGTGAGAACACGTTTTTTAACACCAACACATGACCCTTTGATCATAATACTATTATTTTTTTAAAAATAAAAAGAATATATAAACCAATCATTCATTCATTTATTCATACATTTAATTCCAAATATATAAAATGATCATACTTACAAATCTTTCTCGACAATACCATAATGAGGAAAGCCACCTAATGGAGTAATTTGTTTTTTGGTAATGTCATATTCTGTTGATGCATTTTTTTCATCATCGCCTTTACCAATACGATAAATCTTCTTGTTTACTTCTGTTCGATGGTGATAACCATTTTGACCAGCACGTGGAACAGAATACATTACCCTTTAATTATACATTTACATATATATATATATTATTAATTATTATTTGGTTTAAGGAATGCTTTACAGCATGTGTTAATTGTTTTAGGATCTTTACCTTGAAGGATGCCATGCACCTATGATATAAGTAAATAAGTAAATATTAATAAAAAAAGTAAATAATGTAAATAATATAATTGAATTTAAAAAAACATCAGATTTTGGTCAATTAAATAATTACCAATACAAGCAACTTTTCGAAGACCTTTATGAGTTTTACGTGGAAGTTTCTTTGTTCCCCAACGATGTGTTACACCTTCAAATCCTTTGCCTTTTGTCACACCAATGACATCAACAATTTCATCAGGAGCAAATACTGATAATATATCAACTTCCTGTTCAAACTTTGATTTTGCCCAATCAACTTTTGCAGAAATCGTGCCACCATTAACTTGAATTTCCATCAGATGGGCTTTCTTTTGACCAATTTTTACCAATCGAATTTGAGTATGGGCCAATACACGTACTACTTGACAATATTTTTTGATTCTTGCCAATTCCTTATCAACTGATTTAGAAGTGTCCAAATATTTCTTTGTATATTTTGTGAAAGCTTTCTTCTTGGAACGATACCAATTTTTATAGAATCTTCGTTTAACCTCATCAGTTAAATGCTGAGCCCAAACTGTAGTCAATGCACGAAGACCTCTTGGAGTTTCAACATAACCAACAACACCAACAATTCGTAATGGAGGTGTTTCAATAATGGTAACTGCTTCGACTACCTCTTTCTTATGCATTTCTATTCAATTGTTCAATTTTTGATTAGATGATGGTTATTATTATTATTTTATTATTTTATCTAATCATCATTATCCAGCCTTATTAAAAAACACACTTACTTGATCCAGGACGATCCAAATCTCGAACAACATGAGTCATACCAGCCTTATAACCCATAAAGGCAGTCAGGTGAACAGGGCTCTCGGGGTTATCTTTTGGAAAAGACTTTACTTTACCTCTGTGTCTTCGTGCACGTTTTCTTGGAAGGAAACCCAAACTCCCATGACGAGGTGCTTCAAATTTACGATGTGACTATCGAAAAAATTACAAATTGAGTACGATGATGAAAATTCAAAAAAATATATATATTTTATCCATTTACCATTATTAATTAATATTTTTAAATTTTTTTTTTTTTGAAAAATTTGATCAAAAAAAAAATTTTTTTTTTAATCAATTAAGAACGAATGTGACACAATTGTAATCGTGATATTGCAAGTTCCATCGATTTTTGTAAATCTAAACATGGCTTTGAAAATGTATGCTGTTCGTTTTATCATTAATCTCGATTTGAAAACCGCAATTTATTTTCAATGGTAAAATAATGTATAAATTGTTTATATTGAAACTTATGTTAAAAACATTATCATTTTTCTCTTTTACATAGATAAAGTTCGTTAATTGATTGGCTGCATTTGTATATCAATTCCAAATTTGTATCATGTAGTGCTGAAAATCATAATTTGTTGGATATATATTGAATCGAATCGAATCGCAAAGCTCAATTCTTACTCGATTCGTTCGGTGCGATAAAATGATAAAAAATGAGATTGATATGAAGAGGTGAATTTTATTTGACCTAATATCCTAAACAAGGATGAATGGTCTTAAAGAAATGCTTTAAATAAACATGATGCTAGAAGACCAAAATTCGTTAATGATGTTCTTGAAGAAGTAACTATACATCTATTAATAATTATATGATTAATATTATTATTTATTAAATGCTATATAATAATAAATCTCAAATTCTGATCCAACAAAATACTAAAAAAGAAGAAATAAATTTCAAATGTAAAAGTTAAAAAAAAAATAATTAAATTTTTATAGTGTACCAATATATATATATATATAAATATGCATTGATTAATTAAATATGTTTCTCGTAATAAACAAGCTCAAGAATAAGTTATACATCAATCAACAATCCATCAATCATAATAATTATCCCATTAATTTATTAATTATTATACTAAACCATCATATAAACTTAATGCTTGAACAATTGTTGGGTCTTGCTTTGAACCTTCTTTAAATTCATCCATACTTAATTTACCATCTTTATTCTAAATGTAAAAATAATGATAATGATAGGCATGGTGGAGAAGGTAGGTAATTATATATATATGAAATATATATTTTAATAATTAATAATATATATTTTAATAATTAATAATATATCATGTATAATATAATATATCATGTAAGATCATTATTCATTTGTTTAATCTTTTTTATATATATATTGACTAATAAATAGTTTAGTTACCTTATCCATTAGAGTAAATATTTTATTTACACGTTTTTCAGGTGTATCTTCATCAGGTGGTAATGTTACCATGCTACCAACCATTTTATAAATTGCCTCGACAATTTTTAACATTTCATCATGTGTTATATATCCATCATCATCAATATCATATAATTGAAATGCCCCTATGTAATTTATTATATAGAATAATATCATTAGATATATATTGTACAAATGAATTTAATAAATGTTAAAAAAAAAAAGATACAATTACAAAAAATACCCACATAATAATTTTTCATCTAATTCTCCTCTTGAAGTCACTGATAATGCACATATAAATTCTTTGAAATCAATTTTTCCATTTTTATCTTCATCAAATACATTAAAAACATAATCTGCAAATTTTGAAGGATCACCAAATGGAAAGAATTGTTTGTAGATTTTTTGAAATTCTGTTTTATCAAGTTCACCAGTGGGACAATCCTTGAGAAATCCTTTATACCTTTTACAATGATAATAATATTATATTAAATGAATTATTTTATTTAATTAAATGATTGATTCATTATTAAATTAACCAATTAATAATATATTAATTAATTTACCATTGTTGAAGTTCATGTTTTTTAACTTTATAAATAATAAAAAGAGCTTTTAGTTGATTGAAAATTTTCTAATATTATAATTGCAACAATAAATATAATAAATTGCAAGGCACCTACAATAAGTACATTTCTGAAGCTCTTTAATTTCTTCTTCACTAAGCTTACTATTAGATTTTCCCATATTTAAATATTATTAATATATTTAGAATGTAAATCTTAAAAGTAATTAATTTTTTTTAAAAAAAACAAAAAGATATTTTTCTCAACCTAACAAGATAAAATTTTATTTAATATTTAAAGAATGATCTTATGGAATATTTTCAAGTCCGCTTTTCGTGAAACAACCAGGGTTGACATCATGTACAATACCAACCCTGGTTTAACTATATGTGTAACATGTGCGCTACCGAGGTTGTTGTTTTAATTCCAGTAGAAATGATCCGGCAAGCAGATTGTGCGATTTCATAGTGTGATGAAAATTTTCAGCAAAACTAAGCAAGCCATTAAATTTCTTAGCCAGATGACATCAATATCAAATCATGCAATTATTGTTGGTAAATAGAATTTTTAGAAAGATTAATTAAGAACGTAAGTTATAATGATTGATCTAACTAAATTTAGAAATAGGACAAATTAACCAATAATATGAAGATCCTGTGATCAGTACCACGTGATTTATGCTATATCTCTATACTGAACCTCACTGCTCTCTATAATGAACCAAGATTTTGGTCCCAATATTTTATTAATGTAAATTTGTTCTATATAAAAAAAATTTTACAATTAAATTCTCTGTTCTGTATTACGAACTGCCTTTGTGGAAATCCTTGCAAATTTATAATTGTACCAACAGTGTACAAAAATCCGCAGATATTTTCATATTAATATTTGGTTAGCGTACGCCATTGAATTTTATTTCTTAAAATTTATTAGTAGCATTGTTTCCTCTTCCACTTATATTACATAAAAATAGACGCTTGTTAACAGTAGAAAAAGTCTAACTATACTTTGAACAACGATCGGACAAATCACGATTAATAGATAATGAATTGAATTTAATTCAAAAGAACAAGCAAAAATTGATGATTATATGAATAATTAAAAAACTTAAAATAAAATAATTTTTTTGTAATCATATACGTGGTTGCTGCAATTTTATTCACAATAATTGGTGATCATGTGACAATGATTGACACTTTCTATATAACGAACGCTCTCTGTATTTCGTTATATCAGTCAAAAATCTCTATACCGAACTCCCTGGACCGAGAAATTTCGTTCGGTATAATAATAACAAGGGGATTTCTAGGAATGTGTGATTAGGGACCTCTCTGACCAAAATTGAGATTATCATGAAAAAAATTTAATATAAATATCGAAACATATTAATACGCGTAACAAGCATAGTTACACGACCTACACAATCTTTATTATATGAAAAATACAAAATAATTTAATTGTCATTATTTAGAATCTGGACTTTGCTCTTAGATGGAAAAGAAAAAATTATAATAAGATTATACTGGCATTTATTTCAGATTACATATACTAGGAAGAAAATCAAAATCCTTTTGCAAATGTATTGGAGAATCATCTTGTTAATTTCAATGAATATTATGTTGAAAATTTTCACAGCAGGTTACATGCTAATATTAATGTAAATCAAAATGCAGAATCAATTATTAATCAGGCATTTGTAATTGGCAAGTTCAAAAAAATATATATACATACACACACTACCCAGACAAAAGTTTGTGAATGATGTTTTTTGTTAATTACGCAAAATGCTACATAATAACAGCACATAAAATTTTAACATTATATGACCTATGTTCTTGTTCGTTTTTGTATACAATTTTATGTATTTTGTATTTCTAGTATTTTATTAATTAAAAAAATGAAATACTTTTTTTTTGAAAAGATCATCAAAAAGTTAAAAATGTATTTTTTTGCAAATCATGATTTAGAAAAAAAATAAAATCTAGATGCATTAAAGTATTTAGAATCATATAATTTATTCATCAAAATTATAGCTTTTATATGATATAATAAATTGGTGATATTATCACTACCAATAAATAGCATAAATTATAATTAGTGGTATCATGTATTCATTAAAAATTAATTTATAATAGTATTTAAATAAAGAATTAACCTTAATCTTAATTGATAAAGTGAAGAAGTAGTAAATTTGGAATTTGAAAACATTGACCTTGAAAAAATATTTAATTGTGAAATATAAATTGTACTTGAGTAGTGAAACATATTGCTTCTAAAAACTATAATATTTATTTGTGAGGATTTATTAACCAAACATGAATAATATTACCCAAGGATTTGAAAGGAGTAATTAATATGCGTAAAATTAAAAATGCCTCCCTATAATAACTATATATAATAATAAATTTATTAAATTTATTGATCTTGAAATGTATTGATTTCAAAAATAATAAAAACAATAAACATTTTAATATTAATATCAATATTAATGAAACAAATACCTTGCTGAATAATATGATAAAAAACAAATACTCATTATAATGGGTTAAGAGCCACCAAAATTAATGTATATCAGTATTATATGGGGCATGCTGCAACAAAACCAGACAAAGTGAACATTGGTATAATCAAGAATTTTAGGGATCAAAATTTAGTCATTTGTAATGTGATCATAATTAATATCCCATTTACTATCTTAGTGATAT